ATGTTTTCATTAGTGTGTAATCACATGAAAATAATCGCTTTCGTTCGCTTCGAATGAGCTGTTTTTATCTACAGAGGGAGCGGGTCCTCTTCCATGTTGACCCATCATGTTTCTACAGCTGCACAAAGAGGCTTTTTGCATTTTTCAGGAGTTTTGCAGCCGCCGTAGTTTCTTCTACACACTCAGAAGAGGAGGGTGGGGCGAGTTGGTTGCAATCTAGATGCCACTAAATCATACACGCTGGTCCGTTTAACCCTGAAACCTATTTTTATTTTGTGTTTATTTTGATATTAGTTTGTGGCATAAAATACTTTTTCTCGCCACCTCACTCACTTATACCATCAGTACTAGCAGCACAGACGGCTCAAATACATGTAACAAACCTATGAGATGATTTATTTAATTAATGGATGTTGCCAAGTATCCCTACTTATTCTTGTTTTTTTTCTAGTGGAGGCAAACTTCACTAAACTACACACTAAAAATTCAAGCCATCAGTAACAACAAACCGCGTCCCCACAACACAGTGAACCAGACTGAGATTTGATGTTTTTGGCTTTGTTTTAAAGCTGTTTATATTAGTTACATTTAGTGCAGAGAACATCCCGTTAGTTTGACCTCACTTGTCTCTGTTTCAAGATTTACAAATCAACTGGTCCAGATGGATCTTCAGGTAAAGGACAGAAGATCCACATGCAGCTGTGGGACACTGCAGGACAGGAGAGGTACATGAATTACTTCTACCAGCACTTTCTCACATTACTCAAACCTGGTCTCGTCTTCACTGGTCTTCAAATGTGTCTTTCCCACTATTAATTCTATATTTTTTTCTGAATGGTATCAGGTTTCGGAGTTTGACGACTGCGTTCTTCAGAGACGCCATGGGTTTCCTCCTCCTGTTTGATCTCACAAATGAACAAAGTTTCCTCAACGTCAGAAACTGGATGAGTACGTTCTCTGCAGTATCACACTGAATGAAAACAGTCCTGAGTTAGTTAAAGACAAAGTGCACAGGACATTTTACTAAATTAAATTCCTTGTTGACCTCCAGAATACTTCAGTCAATGATGAAATGATGAATGAATTGACCCTAGGCTGCTGTTCGTGTCATTAAATGTGTAATCTTTCACTTAAGAGTCTTTCTCTGCACAACCTGAGCCACTGCTACGACTATACAGAATATAATACAATAACGATGTCTGGATATTTTTCTTAAAAGTAAGGATAACACATTTAAGACAACACAGGACTGAATACATAATGAATGAATGTGTCTTTCAGGTCAGTTACAGGTTCACGCATACTGCGAAAGTCCAGACGTCGTTCTGTGTGGCAACAAATGTGACCTGTCAGATCAGAGAGCAGTCAGTGAAGAAGAGGCCCGTGAGCTGGCAGAGAAGTATGGGTATGTCTCAGTTTTGAACCATCTGCACATGAACCTCTCCCTCAAGTGTTTGCCAAGAAGGCAGTGGCTGCGTTGTTTGCCAAAGTCTGCAGGAGAATGTCAGACTAAATTGGTCCTCCTCGAAAATCAAATATTTGTCCACATTTGTAAAATATCCTGCTTGACACGCCTTTACTAAAAACACAGATATTGTGATGGAAGTGTTTACGGTGTAAAATGTTTTAAAGGCTTCGGCCGAGGAATAAACCTCACTGATACTCGTGGGACTCGGACGACCACATTTTATGATTCAAGTTTTAAAAACAAGTCTTATAATATTATATACTGTCAACAAATCCCAGGAAAAGACCAAAACCAACAATGAATTGATCCTTCTAACAATTATTGTCTGTGTGTAACCAACGCTGATATACTTGACCTCATTACTCTGTGTCAGAGAGCTCTGTTGTTGCCAAAAAACACAATAAAGGAGCCTCAGCACTGAATGACCTGTTCATTCTTTACGAAGAACCTGAGCACACGAGTTTATTTTGAGTGGATAACACATTATGCCGACCTGCTGCTGTATGTATCAAATGTGTTTTCATCTGCAGCTGAAAATAGTCCCCAAGTAATTCACTGTTTCCTCTTGTGTTTGTGATGTTTTAAAAATAAATATATATATTTGTGACCAGTTTTTAAAGATTTACATCGGCAGTTTGAATGATTGGGTTTGGAGCTGAGAGCAACACAGAAGCTTGTGGAGTTTGTTGTCTTTCTATGTGTGTCATATGAGAAAACCATAGAATAACCCTTTTTACTCTAAACTAGGTAAAGGTTTATGTTGCATTGACCTCTGGTCCAGTGTTTATAAACTATATTTCCTTCACTGCAGAATCCCATACTTTGAAACAAGTGCTGCAAACGGCCAGAACGTCAACCAGGCTGTGGACGTCCTGCTGGATCTGATCATGAAGAGGATGGAACGATGTGTTGACAAGTCCTGGATCCCAGACGGGACTGTCCGAGCGAATGGACCCACCAACCCAGACATCTCAGAGAGCTCTGATAGGAGCAAATGTGCATGTTAGAACGACGACGAGCCATTTTGTTACATATCTGTGTCCATAATAGTGGTGAAAAAATAGGAAGACATCCAAGTTTAACAGTCGGAAAAACTTTTATTTGTGTCCGATGCCAAGTGCCTTTTTAATATGGGAATTACATTTCAATTCATATAATTCATCTTTTAAACAATTAATTCATATCGGAGTGTGGGATATTTATTTGTTGTGATGCCAAGCTGAAATGTCCAGCTTTAGTCATCAGCTGAATATGCTGATGGTCAGGGCAGCTCCTGCCAGATGTGCTATAAATATACTGTATACTACTACTCTTTACTTGCTGTAAGGTTAGCGTAGATTCACACTGCAATTAACTCAAGAAAGAAGCCACTTCTGTTTCTCTCTCTACAGTCAGATAAATGTCGATACCTGGCGTCACGGCTTGTTGCTGGAGAGAAATCTGCTGTCGATTAACTTTAGGTCGTTAAGTACCACTGATGTAACCTCACCAGTGCCACTGCCAGAAACAAGGTCCAATGTTAGCTAAGATGGACAATTAACACTCATGTATTTTCTTTTCTGAATCAATGTTTGGCCAATAATTGATCCTCAACAGTTTGATAAGAGGAATACATTTGACATAAAAAGTAAAAACTGAGCAGTAACTCAGGAACCTGTTTAATTCAGGTTGTTCATCCTGCTGTAAAGAAAAATGGATAAATAGAATTTCTTATGAATGTAAATGTACAATCTTCCTGTAGCGTTTGTGCCCATGTTGATATAATGTATTACTAGATTTAAATGTATCTTTAAAATATTAATTTTGGGGAAATATAGTCAGTGACATAGTTCACACAGTTGCATTTTATATCCAGTGCTTCACATTTAAAAAAAGGAACTATTTGGAGATGATTCAAACAATTACCTGAATGGTTCCTGCTTCCTTCCAATTAAATATATAGAAACTATTGTCTGTAATGACAACATTGGAGGTTTTGGATATGAAGTCTGATCTTCTGTCTAGAAACAGTTTCATGACTCTCCTCTGCAGCTCCCGTAGAGTCAAACTTTGTTGTTAGGTAACACCAGCTATGAGGCTGATTAATTCATTAATTTTTCATCTTTATTCACTTGTAACAACGTCTACTGTTTTCAATTCCACATGTTTTAAAGTATACAGATTTTCAGTCGTAGTGAGATCCTAGAAACTCACACCTCAGGCCCCAGGATCATAACAAATGAATATTAGTTATTCCATGGGTTCCCACAGTGTTTAATAGTGGAGGTGTTGGTCCGCCTCACCTCACACAACAACCATCTCTGCAACCATCATAAAAAAGGTGTTCACTTTTGTGAAATGAAATATTCAGGGAACGTGATCAGAGGTGCTATTTCACATAACAAATGCTATGTTTTTAAAGAGTGTGACTACTGTTCAGGCCGTCATCTACTAATATAGAATATTTTACAAAAAGAGTATTTACACCAAGTAAAACACTGAAATGGTATTGTGAGAAATGTCCCGATTGTTATACTTTCACAAACAAATCCACATTATTTGTATTACACTGTCATTCTTTCCTGCATAAAAGGGTGAATATTATGTTTTAGACACGAGTATATATTTCCACTCACAGTTTGAACTCACAGATTTAAAAATCTATTATTAAATTGAATTTGATTATATTACTAAGACTCAACTGAAATATTTCCTATTTTTAATTGTTCAGTTTCATATGCAAAATATGTAAATGATGTCCTAAAATAAACATTTTTATTTATGTATTCACTGAAGCTGTATCTCATTTTATATATACAGTTACTAGGAGCCGTACTTCTGTTATGTTTGCCCTTAAAGAAACATACAACACTGAACATAATGTAATCTCTCTGAATCATGTGCAAACCCCTGTAATGGCAAGTACATTTTATTTATTTTATATAATGGAAAGTGACAGCTGAGAGACAGAAAAGGGGGAATAGAGAGAGAGGGGGTGACAGCAAACATTAGAAAATCTACTTGGGAAGAAATCATGGAAAGTACATCATCGTTTAATTAATTATTTTAAAATATCAGGAATAAAAGAGGAGAGTTTAGTACTTTTTAGTTAGTTTTTTCCTCAATGTACAACAGAGGGCGGTGATGTACCTACAGGCTGGTTGTCAACAGCCTTTAAAGGCCGAAGAGGAAGAAGAGCTGAACCAAACAGGCTGAAGCGGTGTTTGTTTAGGTAATTGAACACATCAAACTTGTTCTGACAACTTTATAATCCAGTGCCGAGATATGTTTTACCCAGTCGTCAGTTTTAATGAAAGCCAGAAGCTTAAAAACCAGAAGTAAGAAGATACTTCTGCCCAAAACTTGGTTATATTTGTATTTTTAAAAAGTTCAGTTTTAGTTCGCTAGCTAGCTAAGGTTGAGCTGTCTGTTGTTTACATAGTTTTATTCTCAGCAGAAGGTTTAATGTAAGAAACAGACACGACTTTAGTTCTTATTATTGTCTCTAAATGTCGAGCTCTGAGTCTTTTATTTGTGATAATGCCACTACAGTGCTAATTGTAGCATGCTAACGTTACCTGAACTAGGTCGACTGTCTTTAGGATCTAAACGTTAACTGTCCTTTATCTTTAGTTATATCTTTATTGAATGTTGACACAATGTTTGACAGAAATAAAACATCGTCTAAACACGTGTGATGTGGTGATGAGACGAGTCTTGCTGTAGTTGCCATGGTAAAGGATGATTAGGACGTTTATCTCCATGCCAACGGACATCGATCGCACCGTTTAATGTATCTGGAGTCCAGTTAGTATTAATATATATAATAATAATATTAATATAATACAAATAATGTTCTTGGTTTTGACAAGTACAGTGACATTATAAGTGTAATCATCCATGTTGACCAGTCTGGATAGGATACTAGCTGTGTTTATGTGTGTGTGTGTGTGTGTGTGTGTGAGAGGAAACATACCTTACTGATGCAGTAAGGTTCAGTGAATAATAGTGTGTGTGTGTGTGTGTGTGTCCTGCAGAATGCCTTTCCATTTCTGCCCCCAGTGTGGTACAAAGTTGCAGCCTGGTTTCAGATTTTGCCCTTCGTGTGGGGAGAAACTTCCCTGTGCTGTCGATGAATCTGGACCTGTGAGCTCCACGGCGTCTCTAAGTCTCTCTCCAACCAAAAGAGATGAAGCAGCAACATCCCTAGTTAAAACGAGCCTGGCTTCAACCGCAAGTTACGAGCCCGCGGAAAGTAAAGGTAAAGGTATCTTGGCAATATTTAGTTAGGAGTTATCTCTAGATTTTAGACTTTGTTACTATAAACCTTTGAGAAATGTAAATTCTCTTTTTCTACAGCTCATGCATGTATCAGCTCGACTCCAATTACAACTCGTCCTGCACTGCGAAAGACCCGAAACTCCCTTCGTCTGGACAAAGATGTTACATTCAACATTAAAGATGACGCTCCACCAGTGGTGTCCTTCTCTAACCCTGTCAGAGGACTCAATGACACGATTGAAGGTATTTAAAATGGTGTGGTTTAAGTGTTAAGAAAGAGAGATTTATTCAATTCACATGTGAGGGAAGTGGGCACAGACACATGCACCTCAGTGTGACATGTAGCTTTAACCTTCAGCTAACACTTACTGGTGGTGTAAGTGTGAAATAATTTGAACAAAAATGATTTGTCTCATCAGATATCAATGTTGGATTTGTTGGAACTCCACCAAAGCAGCACACAGTCACTTTTAAACTCGACGCAGCGGTAGAGCCGACTTTACAGTCTTCCTCTTCTCCTGTTTCCAAATCCCCTCGACAAGGTGAGGTGAACAACAAACACAACCTGCTTCTCGCTCTTCTTTTCTGTAATAATCTTTTCTTTCATTCGTATTGATTGTTGCTGGATCCTTATGCAGCCAGGGGAAAGGCAAAACTCTCCAGCCCTGCAGCGAAGCAGCTAGAAGAGGGAAAAAGGCCGAGTAGGAAAGCGGAGGAGTCGACGGTAGACGGCGCTCACGTGACCGTTTCTTCCCCTGTTTCCTCACCAGTCTCAAGGTCTCCTATGAAAGGTGAGCAAAAACTTCAGCTTGTATTTAATGGGATTTAGGCTAAATGCCCTGTAACTGTGATGTTCATCCTTTCTATTACTCTGCACTGTCTGCTGTCAAAAAACTCACCAATGCCATAAAACATCTTTTTCACCAGAATACAAAAACAATTGTAATATTTCCACCTTTCTAAATCAAAGATGTGTTTTATTGCCATCAGGGTTTATTTCACCCTGTTGCTCTCTGTGATACCAGGATGTCATTTGAAGCCCACAGAGACAAACTTTACACTTGTAACATCACTTTTTCTTCCATCGTACTTATAACTTAATGAGTTGGTCATGTTTGTATGTGTGTTCAGCTACATGTAAAAGCAAGGCCAAGAAGGCAAAGCATGCACCCGCTGTGGAGCCGCTGCAGGAAGGTCAGGAAGTGACAGATAAGACGGGCAGGAAGTGGAAGCTGGTGAAACTGCTCAGTCAAAGCACGACAGAGCTCATCTACGAAGGTGAGACGGTGAACAGGACATCAGAGCAAATACTGGATGATGAAACATTCAGTATTTTTTACAGTCTTTTTGATCCAGTTAACTTCATTAAAGCAGATGTTTTGGACCATCAGTATACAAAGAGATGACTAACCTAGTTTAGTGGATATAGCTGCAGTTATATTATAATTCAATAATATAATTTTGTCCTTTTTCAGTTTTCCAAACTGTTTCACGATCGAATTCTAAAGAATCAAATCACATCCTCAAACTGGTAAGTTTTATATTATTATTATATTATATATATATAACACTTATATTCAAGGTTTTTCCGAGTACTGATTCCAAAAAGTGATGAATTATTATAGTGACGTGTCACTGAGGTGCCACGAATAAAGAAATCATCACTTTCCCATTTAT